GGGCTGGTGGCGTGCGGCGCCCAGTGGCCATCTTCCCGGGGCCGGGCGGGGGTGCGACCGGGGAGAGGGGCAGCGGGCCGCCGCGGCTCGGCGAGGAGGGGGCGGGGCGTGGCTCGGGGCCCCTTTCGTGTGCATGCCTGTGTGTGTGCGTGCGTGTGTGCGTGTGTGTGTGGGGTCGTGGCGTCGGCGGCTGCGGGAGCGAGGTGGACGCTGGGCGGAGCCCCCGGCCCCTGGAGTCGGTCCTCCGCTCCCTTGGTCCGGGTGCAGCGCGTGGCCAGCCTGGAGGGCACCCGAGGGCGAATCCGTGTCTGTGTAGGTGTGAGCACCGTGTGGACGTGAGCCCGTGCGCGTGCCTGGCTGCAGGTGCCTGCGCGTGTGTGCGGGCAGAACACGAACCCGGCGCTGCGCGTGCGTGCGCTCGGGCTCTCAGTACATGCATGTTCACGTGCCGTGTAGGTACATGTGGATGCGTGTGTCTAGATCAGAGTGTGCGCCTGCGCGGGGTCCTGCCTCCGGCCTCGCGGCGGGCGCGCAGTCCCCTCCCCGGGGCGCGGGCGCGGGCGAGCCGCGGGGGAGGCGCTGTCCGCGGTGCTGACGACCCCGGACGTGCCGAGGGGCTGGCGGCGCGACTGCAGAGGCCCCGCCTCACCTGGTCCCCGAGGGTGAGGGCGGGGAGGGGGGAGGTGGGCTCCGGACCGGTCATCTTCAGCCCCTCCGGAGGCGGCCTGGCGTGGCTGCTGCACTGCGCGCCGTCGGCCCCGGCCTCCTCCCTTCCTCCCCTCCCCCTCGGCGCCTCGCGGCCGGTCCTTAACCCACGCACTCCGTTTGAGTACATGATCCTGGCCACCATCATCGCCAACTGTATCGTGCTGGCGCTGGAGCAGCACCTCCCAGACGGGGACAAGACGCCCATGTCCGAGCGGCTGGTGAGTGCGGTGGCGGCGGGGGCCTGAGGGCAGCCGGTGGGGTGGCGGCAGGTTGTCTGATTCCAGGCCCTTGGGATCTGTGGTTGAGCGCAGCTTTTCGGGCACGGGCACGGCAGTCTGGGCAGCTCCCTCCCCTTCAGTGGAGGAAACAGAACCCGCGGCTGACGCCTCCCTTAAGGGCAGGAGGGCTAGGGTAGCCAGCTCAGCCTCTGATGGGGAAGAGTGGCCTGAGAGAGGCCACGTGAGCCAGCAGCTGCTCTGCTCTGCTCTGTGCCACTAGCCACCCCTACCCCAAATGGGCCGTGGCCTTAGGCCTGGGGTGGGGGAGGGGTGCTCACAATGGCCCGGGGTCAGGACTGTCTGGCTCTGTGAGGCCCCTCGTAGGGGGTGGGCTGGCTGCTCACCCCTCCCTTCTGGGCTCTGATAGTCTTTAGTCCCCGGGGTGCAGCCTTGGGTCTAGGGATCATCAGCCTCTCCTTCAGAGTTGTCTTCCCTGCTTCTGCTTGAAACCCTTTCCCATGGGGCCACCCTTCCCATGGGAAGCTCTCCTTCCCAGGCTTTCTTCCCGAACATCCTGAATCATTTTCACCACTCCTGCCAAGAGGTCCACAGCCCTGTGGTGTACCCTGTTGAAGAACAGAGCCCATGAGAGTCAGGGTGCCAGGGCAGGGTCTCTGGAGGGGCTGGGGCAGAGTGGTATTTAGAGAGTTGAGCCCTACTACAAAGGTGAGGCCATGTCCCCTAGTCCCCAGCCCTCGTTGCTGCCCTGGCCCCTTTGAGTGGGCTTGGTGTGGGGTCCTAGAGGCCTGAGAGACTGAGCCTCACAGCAGAGAGAAGGACAAGCAGGTGCTGGGATCTAGAGAGGGTCTGGGGCCTGGCCAGAGAGCTGCTGGAGGGCCTGAGATCCCTGAGGAGACAGCCTCTCCTGGGGCACCCGGCATCCAGAGGCTGATCCCTCTTCCACACCCTGGCGAGTAACTGGTCCTCTCTGAGCTTCTTTCCCTCACTTCAGCAGAAATAAGCATTGATGAAACAGGGCCTGTTGGGTGCTTGGTATGGGCTCTGAACTCCCCTCCTCTGGCCATTGAAGGCCCAAGGGTGGGGAAAGGGACACGGATACCCAGAGGGTGCTCACAGTTGGGTGGGGCACCAAGAGAAGGCAAGGAAGTGGACAGCCATGGGAGGGGAGGTTTCGTGGAGCAGCCATTTCCTCAGGCACGCAGAAGGCGGGGGT